TATTTGTCGGTGCATTCAATTAAAATTTCCTCACTTAATTAGGAAACAAACCAAACAGAGTTCATCACAAATTGATCCAGATTTCTATCAGTATCAATGCAGGAAACAAAAGGGCAAAAACAACAATAAAACGATCAGCTGGCCGGATTACATAGAGGTGGGAGCGGGTCAACGGCCGCTGCACAAAATTCGAACACTTGGAAGCTGGAGGTACATAGAGTGAGGGAAGCTGAAAAAGTGAAGAGCAAATATATACACAAACAAATGTTCGTTTATGGTTAAAACAATTCAAGTTTTTGTATTGAATTTTTGGTTTAAAATTTATTTTTTCCTTTTCAGTAGGGTTTTTGCACATTATCTTCTGCGTGAGAATTGATCGTAATATATACGCATCTAAATAAGAGACTGGAACACGGCTGTTTGTCAAAAGCATACGATTTCGAACTCGCGTAAATGTACATTTGCTAAATGCTATAGCATGAACGCTCTTCGAAAACATATGTTCGAAAGTGCTAAATGTTGCATTATAAAATCCAGCAAAAACGCTGCATTAGACTGAGTTTTATGCTTAGTTTATTTGAACAATGCGGTGTATTTTATTCGGTTTATGAAAAAGTCAGTCGTTACACGTAAAAGAAAAAATCAAAGATAAAAACCTTCTTAGAGATCAAACTTATAACTAGATATTTCGATAAATTGATGCATATCGTATTAGTCGATAGATAAGCAGAGTTACCAAATCTCATACATCCTGCCCGGCTGGACGGGTAAGTTCAGGATGATCCAAAAGCCTACAGATTTTCTGTATTGGTCGCATGCACTCGCCTGTTGCATGTTTGATGGTGACCACACGTACCAAGCCATCGGTACCTGGATGTAACCGTACCACCCTGCCAAGTCGCCAGTGCGTAGCTGGTAGGTTCTCGTGGCGAATGATTACAATGTCGCCTAGCTGGATACTGTCATTGTTCTTATGCCATTTTGATCGGGTCTGTAACGTGGAGAGATACTCATCATGCCATTGCTGCCAGAAATGCTGCTGCATCTGCCGTAGCTGACGATAATAAGACAGTCGATTAGAAGGTACTTCGCCAGTTGATTTTTCGGCCACTGCCACGATTGATCTCCCGATCAGGAAGTCAGCCGGTGATAATGCCATCTTGTCGTCAAGGGTATCATGTAGTGCAACCAGCGGCCGGGAATTTAGACAAGGTTCCACATGCACCAAAAGTGTGTGCAACTGGTCGTAGTAGATAGAGCGCGTGTCAACTATTCGAAGTATGTGTTTTTTGGCAGATTTCACAGCGGCCTCCCAGAGCCCGCCATGATGTGGAGCTCCCGGCGATATAAAATGCCAACGTGTGCCCTTGTTTGCCAGGTTCTGCTGAGCATACTCGCCATGCCATGCTTGCAGATCTTCTGCCATCATGCGATTTGCGCCTACGAAGGCTGTGCCATTATCACTATATAAGTCGGTACATAGACCACGTCGATTTACGAAACGGGTGTAGATATTGATAAACGCCTCTGCCGAGAGATCTTCCGCCAATTCTATGTGTACCGCTTTTGTTGCCATACACACAAATATCGCTGCATAAGTTTTCTTCACTGTGCGGATGGCCTTCGAACCGATGCGTATGTTGAATGGGCCACAATAGTCGACGCCTGATACTGAAAAGGGGGGTGCGGGGGTAACGCGTGCCTTTGGTAACGATGCCATACGTTGATTCATCATAATATGCTTGTGCCGCCTGCAAGTAGTACAGGAATGGATACATTGTTTGACCAGAGAGCGTGCGTATAGGATCCAATATTTCTGGCGAATAGTATGCAGCATAAGCTGAACGCCTCCATGCAGTGTGTCAGTATGCATTTGCCATACAATAAGCTTAGTTAGGGTGCTCTCTCGCGGAAGTAGGATGGGATGACGTATCCCGTCCTCAACGCCTGCGTTGTCTAGTCGACCACCCACTCGAAGGATGCTGAATGTTGAATCATCAGTAAACGGAGCCAATGCCAGGAGCTTGCTTGAAGATGGAATCGTCAGTGCCTTGCGTAATGATGCGATTTCTGGCAGGAAAAACCTGCCTTGCTCTGCATGTATATGCCAATATAGCGCTATATCTATCTCGGCTGCTGATACGTGTAAATTAGACCGATAGTGGCGATGATTTTTCTTAAATCTCATGAGGTATGCCGTAGAACGAAGCAATTTGCCAAGATTACTGAAGCGGTCTAGTAAGTCGATGATGATGGTCTGCCTGCCATCGGAATACCGAGTTTGCAATGTGTGCAATGTGGTTGTCTGCATTACATTGGATTTTACTGGTTTTAATTCCCCCTCCATCTCCACGATCTCCTCTGGTGCCAGTGTATGTATTCTGGCGATTGGATAGTTATCCGATGTGGGGCCATGCCACCACAAATGATGATGTAGTAGCGCTGATACAGTGCTGCCACGGCTTGCACAATCAGCTGGATTCAATTTTGTAGGGATATGATGCCAATTTGCAATATCAGTTTTCTGCTGAATGAAGCCAACCCGATTTGCCACATATTGGTTCAACTGCGATGTGCTTTTATGCAGCCAATGTAACACAATATTGGAATCTGGAAACAATCGGTATGATATCTGCTCCAAGCGTAGAGCTCCTTTTATTTCGCCCAGAAGTGTAGCCAATAGATGGGCAGCGCTCAACTCCAAGCGAGGTATAGTGATGCTATGTAGTGGCGCTACTCGAGTTTTCGATGCAACTATCTGACTAATAGGTTGCCCATCGTTGCGTTTAGTGCATAAGTAAATGACAGCAGCATATGCCTTAGTGCTGGCATCGCAAAAACCATATATATGTGATTCAGCCTGCGGCCGCATGCCAAGCCATCGTGGAATTTTTATCTCTTCTAATTGTTTCAACTCATTTCGGAAGGTGAGCCATTCGTATTGTAATTCAGATGGCATGTTATGCGGGATGACTGTTGGTTAAGGCGAAGCGGTTTCCAGGCATGGTTGCGGGCCCAGGCTAGCTCGCCGTACGGGGGGGTTGTTTCCGCGCACCTTACCTACTCCTACATAAACAAAAAAATCATGCCTGTCTGTACTTTGCAGTGAAAAAAAAGAACTCGAGATGACATAAACAGAAAAAAACGTGATAGCTAAAGAAGAAGGCCTGTCCAGTCAGGTGGAGTCGTCCCACCCCCTCTGCGTGCCTCGCATACGCAGCCATGGGCGTTGCGTCGACTCCTATTAACGTTGCAACGCCCCCTAGTCCTGATCTTGTATGTCTGTCCACTAATTCATCAGTCCTGTACCTGTCCTGTCAATCTGTCAGTGCCCTCACGTCCCCTCTTAGGCCTGAGTGTAACACCCACACCAAACTCTATAGGTTTACCATTCCATTTTTAGGACTCTTTAACCTCTCAACTGGATAGCAATAAAATTACAGGTAAATTCATTGACCTTGTTTTTATTTTATAGTTATGATTTATTTCTAAATATTCACAAGAAAATCTTTAATCCTATGTATACCTACTCTATTACATCTAAGGAAATTCAAGAATTCAAAAACAATTGATTTCGCTTATCAAAATTCATATGGCAAAAGTCTCAACAAAGTTAGGCTAATTACAAAAATTCTCAAAAAAATTAAAAAAATATTGATATATGTGCAGAAATGTATAAAAAAAATACAAGTTCGCTATGCTAATAAAGCGGGATGGAATTAATAAACAATAAAAAAAAAATATTTAACTAAATTAAAAATGACTTCAAACGCGGGATAAATACTTCAGAACTTAGTAAATTGCAATTTCTCTTCTATTTTCTTGATTTAATATGCTTATGTGAATGCCCCTATTTCAATATTTCTAGTGCTTTAATGAACATACGCATATGTACTTCCGTATGTATATGCAAAAGAAGAATAGCCGCGAATATTTAGCACTATGGAACGCAGTAACCAAAACAAAAAAAAAATATATATTATATACGTATGTATATATATGTATATATGTACATAAGTAGGTGTGTATTAAATTATCTTCTCACTCACCTTTAGCATTCCCACGATGCTGGTACCAACATGTAGAGAGGACGCTGAAAAGGGCTGGAAATCGACATACATGCACATACATAGATATATAGGTATTAGCGGCCAGCTGAGGTCTGACGACCTGCGCTACTTGTTGCTTTGGTCACTCGCTCGTGTTTGCGGGCAGCGAGCGAGTCACACGTGCAGTACGCTTTCCGACAATTAATTTCTGAGATTTGCGTAAATATAAATTAAAAAGCAGAAATATTCACTCGGATTGCAAAAAAAATAAGAAATATAAATATCCGACTATACGTATATTGAAAAAAAAAACCCAAACTATATTGCTAGTACGAAAGTTAAATCAAGTGCGAAGTGAAATTGCGAATGGTGTGATAAGGTAAAATAAGGCAACAAACGAAATAAGCAAAATCAGCATTAAAAGAAAAAAACTAAGCACACAGTCGCAAGTTGTCATTAAGAATTAAAGTTACAAATCCAAATTAATCAAAGTGCAAATTACTGAAAAAAAAATGGTTTCAAAAAAAATCCCTTACAAAAAAACGTGCGAAAAACAGCAACAACCAAAAGCAATGGTGACGTCGTCGGTTCTGCTGCGCTGCTGGTCGCGGCGGCGCGGTTGCTATCGGCTTTCGTTGGGCGATCTCGCCGTTGCTGACCGCGCGACGATGTATGTACATATATACGTGGCTGGTGCTGGCGAATGTTCGCTCACTGCAATTCAGCCCACTCTCCCCAGTTCTGCTTACTTGTTCCAGGTGAGTTCTAGTCTGCTCTTCACTTTTTCAGCTTCCCTCACTCTATGTACCTCCAGCTTCCAAGTGTTCGAATTTTGTGCAGCGGCCGTTGACCCGCTCCCACCTCTATGTAATCCGGCCAGCTGATCGTTTTATTGTTGTTTTTGCCCTTTTGTTTCCTGTATTTTGTCGCTTGCGGATGTGATGCCGAAATATCTCCTTACGTATGTGTATGTATGTAGGTATGGGTATTTATATCCGTACTTCCTTGTAAAGACTTGTTGTTTTCCCAGCAAATGTTGCATGTACATATGGATGTGTGTAGTACTTCGCTAAATTCTTCGACGTTATCGTCGTAGCTATCGGTGCCTTTTGCTAGCGCTGTGGCAAGTAGTGCTCGTGGATGTGCTATGTGTCGGGGGCACTTACAGCAGGTTGTCGTGGCGTGTATTTGAGTACTTTTTCTACTGAAGTCCTTTTGTACGTCCGTACCGGCGACCTGGAAGATATTAAAGAAGTCTTACGTACATTTGTCATTGCATAATTTTTCTTAGGGACTTCTCTTAGCATTAATCTCCATCTGCACTGGCCTTGCTATGCATACACATGTACATATGTATATACTTTTGTATGCGCAGTTCTGTGCGTACATACATTAGGACTTATATGCACATGCGTATGTACCTGCCTACGCAAATTCACACTAAGTCCCCTATATTTAAAATAATTTCAATGTGGCTATCATCAAAACTTACCTCAAATTCCAAATACTTTTAGTCTAACAATTCAATAATAGCCCGTTTAATTGACGGTACCCAAAAATCACGGAACCTAAAAACCGCTAGTTGCACTTGCGCGAACCCTTTTATATTTTCTTACAAAACTTTAACACAGCACCTTTTTTTTTATTTTTTTTTTTTCACACTTCAAAACTCGCGTCCACTTGAACTTTCTCGGCACCGTAACTTTCTTCTGACTCACTTCAGCCTCTTTCAGTGCCGTTTTATTGCACTTCGGCTGGCCGCAGTGGTCACTCATTTCTCATGTTCTTACTCAACTTGAAGTTGTCCTACCACACACACATACACATAACACACACAACACACACAAACACGCACACGCAAACGCCCGCTTAGAACTGCTTTATCGAACCGCCGGGCTAGCGAAGTTTCACCCCTTTAGTGTTGTATGGTGTGTAAAAGAATCATCGAAATTATAGCTAGCTGCTTTCACATCCGGTGGATACGCTCACATACTAACACAGCCACACTAGGTGCAAGGCTTCGTTACACGCTCGTACCCGCCGATGGTGCCTGCAACATGGAGCGTGTACGTAAAAAGGTTTATAACGCAGCCCGTCCTGGTTTTGTACCGCCCAACGTGCGGCTTCGACCCACGACCTAGAGCCGGGCTTTCAGTGCCTTGCTAATGTTTCCAAGGGTTTCATCCTACTTATCGTAATCTAGCTACGTACGGTCACATTTCTACGCACAGGTTCTACTCCTACCTCACAGAATAATGTACTTGCTACAGCGCACACCATAATTATAACTACTAAATTAATCAATAATCCCACAAATAAAAAGTCAATAAAAATATGCATACATAAGTCAGGTAGGTAAATATATCTAGATAAATAAATAAAATACATATCACAGAATTCGTAATAACATAGTTAAGTGGTAAAAAAAAAATGTATAAAAACAACTAAACAAAAAAATATCACAGAGTTTATGACTATGCGGTCAAGTGGAAAGAAAAATATCACAGCGCAATAAATCAATAAATAATTACATATGACTAATAATAAAAAATACATAGATAAATAAATAAATTNCAACTAAACAAAAAAATATCACAGAGTTTATGACTATGCGGTCAAGTGGAAAGAAAAATATCACAGCGCAATAAATCAATAAATAATTACATATGACTAATAATAACAAATACATAGATAAATAAATAAATACATAAATAAATGAATAAATAAATAAATGAATAAATAAATAAATAAAAGTAGTCCAGTAAAAAAACATAAATAAATAGTCTGATAATAAATAAGATAACCAAAACATATAGACAAGTACTAACTCACATATACTTAATCACAACACGTTGCACGTTACACAACACACATGAAAACTATGCTAAAAAAATATCTTTAGCATGGTCTACCCCGATTCTCTTTCCACTGGTGTCACCTAGCTCATACATCGAGTTA